TGAACATAAGGAAGCACATTTTTACTGTGAGGGTGACTGAGCACTGGCAGAGGTTGCCTAGAGTGGTTGTGGAGTCTCCATCCTTGGAGATACTCAAAAGTTGTCTGCGCGTGGTCTGAGGCAACCTGGTCTAGGTTACCCAGCTTGAGCAGGGGAGTTGGACCAGAGGTCCCTTCCAGCCTCAACCAATCTGTGATTCTGTGAACATTTGCTGGATTTCATTAATGTTTGTTAAGAACCCACTGCTGGCTGTTCTGGACTATGTGTATGGCCTGTGCTGTTAGTTCCCATATGAGACTGGTGAGACGTGATCTCATGCTACTATCCTTCGTCCCTCCACACTTAGAGGTAGAATGCGCAGGGGGAATGAATTGCTGTGACCATATGCTGAGTTTATGGCTTACCGATATCTGAAAAGTTTTGCTGTGTCACACTGTACTTACTGTATGGAACATCTGTCTCACAATATGGGCCAGGGATGTTTCTGTTTACCAGGCACTTGGGTGTGTTCTGCAGCCTTTCTGGTCTCTGCTTTGCTGTAACTATACTGCTCTCCATACCCGAGTCAGTAGTTTAAAGCAAGCCTGAAGCTGTAGACAAACCTTTGAATATAAATAATCTTCTTGCAGAAAACTTTGCATATAAATACTTTCAGGTTTATTTTCTTCTTTGCAGATACAAAAGCTCAAAGATTACCAGTGAAAAGACTGTGTGACTCTGGTATTTCTAAGGTCATAAAATGCATAAAACATGCCCTGATAGCAAAGTACCCCAGGACATGATACAGAGCTGAATGGTATGCAAAGTTATTTTGGCTGTTTCTTTCCTATGCCCCAAGCTGTTCATCTGACATACTGCTGTGTATTGCGTTTCCAGCTCCAGCAGCTAGTGTGAGATCAGTTCCTGGACTCCTAACTAACATTTAGTATTAAGCCAGTATCAACTCTGCAGAAATAAATATTAGTCCTGTCAAGACCAAACACCCTCTTCTTTACCAGTTACTAGACTCCTTAAATTCCCTTCAGAAGACACTTTCTCCACCCTCCTCACCTGGTATTTCTGAATTTGCAGCTAGGCTTGTAAATCCAGCATGTTTTTGAAGGTCATTTTTTATGCTCAGAAATGATACCTCTATAGGATCTAGGAGCTGCATTCATAAAATATGCAGCTACGAAGCTGGTTAATACTACTCACACAATAGAACATTTTTAAATAAGACAAAAATCACTAAAAGAGTCAGTTTTTCAAGTAGACTTCATCAATATATAGGCTGCTAGTGAACTCAATATAAAACAATGGCCTTTCAGAACATGTATCTTATACATGTACCTTACACAATGTATTTACTCAGATTTAGTCCTCTATTTCATTGGGGGTTTGCTCGTGGTCATATGCAGGAGTTGCTAAACTTCACAAGCTTCTGAACACAAGACATGAAATCAATTAATAACAAAGCCCAGCTATTGCAACATATTCCAAAAACTACAATTGCAGTTATTTGACCACATCTAATCACCTGACTACTCAATTGTGTAGAGACAAAACACAAGCTACTTTAGAGATACATGATTAGAGGGAAAATCAAAACTACATTGTACTCTGCTACTATCCAGAGTATCCAAACTTTTATTTTAACATTCTTCCTAATGTTAGCATAGTTTATGAGGAAAATATTAAAAATAATATGCATTCACATTTCTTTCATCCTCAGTGTGCTTTGCAAGTTAAAAGGATGATTATTTCACTCATTAGCTTAAACAGGTCATTAGCTTATGCTATGGCAAATTAGTTCTACTGTACAAAGAGTGTGCTCAGAATGGTAAAATGTTAGTTGAGGTTACTGTGCCTCTTGTAAACTATTTCTATCTGTTAATCTGCTGACCAAAGGCTCACAAACTGGTATTCCTAGAGATATTAAAATTGAAGGGGTAAAGGTTTTATTTGCTGAAGAGCTGCACTGGTGATTAATCATTAATGTGCGATTCGGTTAAGCTTACAAAAATACCATGAGCAGGTCAGAACTCCAAATGTAAGAAAAGGAGTTTCATCACTCTTTGTGTGTGTGTGTGTGTGTGCGTGTGTTCGTACATGTGCAAGAAGGGGAAAGAATGTAAAAAATGTTTAGTAGCCTTTAAGTATTTCACTGGGATTCTATTCTCTGGCAAATGGCTTCAAGAATAAAATTACTTTAATTCATTTTGTGATAAATACCTGCAGAGTTATAGCTCTCTCTATCTGGCCTGACAGCTGTAAAAAGAATGTACATGAAAAAACTTAACATTATAATTTATCAGCCCTATAGTTGCAGATTACAGGGAGATGCCGAAATCTCTAAATATCAGCCTTCTTTGGAAGAGAATGAGTCCAGAACTCAAGAATCCAAGCAGGGATTGTCCTCATAAGGGAAAAAGAATACAAGCGAAAAATGAAGTCAGGGATAGAATCTAAACCTTCTGTTGAACAAAGTACCAAAAACTAAATTTTACATAATCAGAAGGGTACATTGTGGTATGCTACGGAGAGGAAGAGGCCCAGTTGAAGCTTAGGAATCCTTCACCATGAGGTATGTTAAACAATCAAATCTACATACTACCTATCTATACAGTATCCCAGGGATGGTTTTCTTCCACATCTGAAGAGTTAAAATTCTTACAGGGGTAAAAAAAAAAAATCTCTGATACACAGCTGACATATTAGCAGTTTTCTCCAAAACTCATTCCAAATCTTTCTGTTGACAAAGACTATTCACAAAACTGATGCTATTTCTTCTTGTGGTATGCAACTGGAGGCAAGTCTTGTGGAAATATTAGCCCTGCCTTCTCTCTTTGAAAACATTGTGAACTTTTTCCTTAAGAACAGCAACCTGCCTTTCAAAGAAATCCTTTCTCATAGCCTTACAGATGTGTATGGTCTGTCACAGAATCTAAGGAATTTTCTACATTAAAGCTCTGAGATTTGAAAGTTAATCAAACCAAGGCTTTAATTGCTTATGTCCATACGACCTTTATAGAGTTTCCTGTTTCAAGGGACAGTTTACTTAATGGGTATAATGGGGCAGTTTTCATACTTACAGTGATATGATGTCAGTGATGTTATATCAAGAACTTTAGACAGTTGTGTGAAGCAGTAAGCACTATTCTTTTTTGACCTTATCTAAAGCACTGTTGCTTTCATCTCAGAGTTCACAGAAGTCACCACAACTGAAAAAAGTATAGAGCCTTCACACAAATTATGGACTAAGGATGTGGTATAATAATATATTTATTAGACTTATTCAGCAGCATCACTTTCCAGTTGTCTTTTCTAATCAAGGTACATTACAAAGTAATTACAAGAATTCTAATTAGAAAAAGTATATATTTTGAGAACTCGGATATAAAACAATCAAATAGCAGAAGTCTCAATGATTATAATTTTAGAAATCTTTAAATTACATGAACAGCTAGCCAGGAATGCTGAACAACATATTCCCGCAGTGGTACTCAGAGTTTCCCCAAATGGTTCATGTTGTGGAAACTACCTTGGATAATTAATAGAAAAGCTAATAAGATGTACAGTATATTCTGATAAAAGGTTACAGAAATAACCAGGTAACTACAAAGACTGCATTAGTCGAAATTGTTTCCCTTTCTATTAATGTCCACCTCAGGAAATAAATAGTCAATAAAATTAAATTTTCACTTTAAAAAACCTGAATAATTTCTTAAATGAACCAATATTCTTTGTATTTTGTTTTTTGCTGTTTGGAAATAAACTGTTACAGAAATCTAGCTACTTAATTTAATAGTACAAATTACTTCCAGAGACTCCAGCCAAGAAGAGAACTGTTCCATTGATAAGCAGGAGAAAATCTCATTAAATTAAGTACTCATAGCACTAAAATCTAAATATACCAGATCTTTTTAACACTATTAATGGAATGGTGTTAACTGGAACCTAGAGGAAAAGTATGTGTCTTATGGATTGAGAGGAAATTATTTTATCTCAGGCAGTTAAAATACTGTAAGAACAACATTTTGCACAGGTAACTAACTAGTCAGCATAATGATGCTGCATTGACTCTTCCATCGTTTGTTTAACACAAGATAAACAGACACACCCATTTTTACATACAGTAGTATATAAAATAGGTGGTAAAGATGCCCAGAGCACCAGTAGAAGTTTTAAAAGGTGCTGTTATAAATATATATTCTAAAGATCCTGTAAATCAGTAGTGTTCCTATATTTGCCTTGTCTGGGTTTTTTTTTTTAGTTTAAGCTTTTATATAATGAATTTATCCCTAAAGATATGACCAATTCCATATAAATTTCTACTAGCAACATCACCAAACAAGACAATCTTTCAAAAATTTACAAATGTACAATATATTTATAATATTAGTTTCAGACAGCTTCAGTGCAAAGATATACATATAGTACATCATGATAATTGTTCATAAAAATAGCAATAGGCATTTGTCAAAAAACAAGGCATAGTTTCAACATACATCTCCAGCCACTGACTAAGAGATGTATATATTTTTATAAAGCATTTGAGTGTGAACCTTACTCTTCTGTTTATAAAAAATATATGTGCAAATGGATGTGTCTAATTTTCCCTAAATCAGTTACCTAGTTATACCACAGAGTCCTCTTTAACAAGATTGGCGGTGTCTTTAAATGTATCCTCTGTTGCTGTATAAGCTAATGGTTGGTCTCTCTTCAGAGTAATCTTGGGAGGCAGTGAGGGAGAAGGGGTAGGGACATTTTCTGTGTCCTGTTGCTGTTCCTTTTGTTCCTTTTCCATCTGAAACAATAATCACAAAATCCCAGTTTACATTCTAATGTACAAAACATCCAACCTTAACTTTCAGAAATGTTTTTGTTTCAGCAAAATATTTGGATATTTATTTAAAGTCAAGTATCATGGTATAAGTTATTTCTGCAAGTCACCACCTGTAACAAAAATTAAATGCTAATTTCACCTCAGATGGTACAGCTGAGTAAATACACTACTACAAACTTGCTCCACACACTGGGACTTCTATTTTAATCCGTAATGTCAGGAGTAGCTTGGTAAGTCTACATGCACACACATGAACGTAGATAACATTGGCACTACTACTGTTTGTAAATAGTTACATTCATTAGTGTTGGGGAAATGAATCTCTGGCTTCCTGAACTCTCTCTCTCTCACCTTGTTCAAGCATTAGAAACCTAAATTTTTCACAAAAGGCAGCTATTTTTAGTCATGTGACTGTGGGGCTGATGTTCTTAAGTCAGCTAGGCCATCTGGAAATTTTAAACTGTAAGATGAAAAGGGCTGGAATTACTGGCTCAAGTCAGTAGAACTCCAAACCTTAATACCCAAGCCAGGGGAGAATTCCTCCAGCACACATACCACCTGCTGGCACACCATCTTAAAAGAACTGTATAGATGAAAAAAATGGGTCTGGTATAGAAACAGGGCTGCAGTATGCAGGGCTATTGAATTTTTCTGCAGTGCTGAAGCCAGGACTGAGAGGGCAGAAAGAGAAACTTCACTCCTAGTGCAGTACAATAGCCTTCCACTTGCACTGGGTCCCTGAGCTGAACTGGAATGCATGAGCAAGCTGAAACCAGCACCGGAGATCCTGGAGCAGGATCACACTTGGGCCACACAGTGCTTGGGCTGAGAAAGCAGAGATGTGGAAAATGCATCTGTGCTGCATGATCTGGATGCCTGCTGAGCACCTCATTCTGCATGAGACTTTATAACTTTTCTCAAAACCACTTCAGTCCTACCTTGACCTGGGCTGGAATTTCTGTGCTGCTTCACTTAGCAGCAGAATCTACCCATAATCTTTATCCTATGAAAGCAAGAAAAATGTCCAGCAGTACATTCGCTGAAAAATAGAATTATACAATATTAAGCAATACCTCTGCATATATTGGGTTTTCAAAATTA